CCCGTGGGCCTTTTCAGGCACGGGTGGCTACCACACCAAGTGTGTTGCTCAGCTGGGGAGCTGCTCTAGCTGGAGAACAGCCCACCAAAAATACAATAAATTAAAAAAAAAAAAAGAATTCAGAGCCTGAGAGTGTCACGGCTCAAAGCCTTCCCTGGCCAGCAGGATCTGACCCAGTGGCTGGAGAAATGCTGCTTGTTTCCTGGTAGGAGCATATTGTGTTCTCCGTGTCTTTTGTTAGCTGCGGGGAGACCAGGCAGCTTGACTGTCACATGAACGATTGGGCTGAACTTGGAGAAATCCTGCCAGAAATCTCGCTCAGAAAAACAAACAAACCCAAAAGCAAATTATATCTGAGCTCGCTGGTAGAGCGGCACGTGAAACCGGTGACCCTTTCATGAGAATATGCAAAACCAGAGACCTGACCCGAGTTAGTAACACATTTCCAGATAGAAAAAGGACTCTGGACCATTCCTGTGCCCCTGGGAAGCGGGAAGAACGGGCAGCGGGAAGGCTGGGATCAGGGTCTGAAGAGACCAGGCTGGTCCACAAACAGCTGATGGACCTCACGCCGGGGCTTTTGGTGGCCAAGCTGAAACCAGGACTACGAGGACGCCTGCGGTTGTGGGTGCACTCCTGCCTTATGCAATGGGGATTAATCTAAGTAGGTGGAGAAGTATTTCTTGGCTGGATAACAGGGGGGTGAGGCCGCTGGAGGAGCTTGCTGCCTTCAGATAGGTGGCAGGAGCCGGGGCGGGGGGGTGAGGCCTGCATAGCTCGTAGCAAATCATCCTTGTTCACCCCGTGATAAACTTATCCTGGGTGAAACAGAGCCGGACCTGTGCTGGGCCCTCTGCCCTCTTGCATCGTGGTGGCCGCCGCAGGAGAATCTTGGGTCTGGTGACTTGTTCCTTGGGCTGTTTGTCCTGTTTGTGGCCACAGCTTTGATGGAAGGTGCCAGGTTGGGGACCTGGCCAGGCTGGTGGTGATGCAAAGGGCAGTGTGTGTGGGTGAAGTGGGTACAACACACACTGGCTGCCCTTTCTGGGGTACGGCAGGAGCTTTCGAACCCCTCTAGAGAGTGGCTCAGGTGATAAACAGCAAAATAAAAACAGCTGTTTACCCATTTTTTTCATGTGAAAGCAGCTGATTGTCAGTAAGGGTGGAGATACTCATAGTCATAGAGTTGTCCAGGCTGGAAGGGACCTCCAAAGGCCATCTAGTCCGACCTCCCCGCAGTCAGCAGGGACACCCCCAACTAGACCAGGTTGCCCAGGGCCTCGTCGAGCCTCTCCTTGAATATCTCCAGGGATGGGGCCTCAACCACCTCCCTGGGCAACCTGTCCCAGTGCTCCACCACCCTCACAGTGAAGAACCCTCTCCTAATCTCCAGTCTAAATCTGTCCCCCTCCAGCTTAAAGCCATTGCCCCCCATCCTGTCACTGCAGGCCTTCGTAAACAGGTTCTCCCCAGCCTTCCTGTAGCCCCCCCTCAGGTACTGGAAGGCCGCTATTAGGTCTCCCCGGAGCCTCCTCTTCTCCAGGCTGAACAACCCCAGCTCCCTCAGCCTGTCCTCGTAGCAGAGATGCTCCATCCCCCTGATCATCCTTGTGGCCCTCCTCTGGACCCTTTCCATCAGGTCCATGTCCTTCTTATATTGAGGGCTCCAGACCTGCACACACAATGAGGTCTCACCAGAGCAAAGCTGAAGAATCCCCTCTCTGGACCTGCTGGCAATGCATCTTTTGATGCAGCCCAGGATGGGATTGGCCTTCTGGGCTGCAAGTGCCCACTGCCTGCTCATGTCCAGCTTCTCATCCACCAGCACCCCCAAGTCCCTTTCCTCAGGGCTGCTTTCTAGTACCTCACCCCCCAGTCTGTACTGGTTGTGAGGATTGTTCTGGCCCAGGTGCAGAACCTTGCATTTGCTCTTGTTGAACCTCATGAGGTTCACCTGGGCCCACCTCTCCAGGACCCACTCAGAGTTCCCAAAAGCACAGCACCACATGCTTTGGTCCCACACATGCCAGGCTGGTAGTTGATGGCTCTGTGGGGGCACTTAACCCTAATTACCTTCCTGACGAGGTGTCGTTCATCCTCAAATGATACCAGCTACTTCCAAGGCACCCCAGCATTAGAGATCTGGGGTCAGTGCCGGAGTCTGAAGCAATGCCTTCAAGTTAAAACTAGCAGAGTGGGAATAAAAAAAAAAAAAAACCACGAAAAACCAAACCACACCAAAACAACAAAAACCCCAAAGCCCAGCTGGATGCTCCTGGCTCGGCAGCGGTGGGTCGTGCTGAGTCACGCTGACGGCGGAGCTGCTGCCGGCAGTTTGTGCCGGGCATCAGGAGATCCAGCTCCTCCTGAGGAGCATCTGTGAGACAGGAAGGTGCCGAGACCTGTGGAGGGGCTGCAGGACCCCCAGGGAGATTGAAAACCTGCTTTTAACCACTGAGAGAATTCAGTGTTGCTGCCGCCTTTAAAGGGGGATTTTTTTTTCTGAGCCTTTGGGTTTATTTCCAGGGCTGTTCGTAGGTTACAACGCGTTTATTGCTCTGAAACAGGAAGCTTTGCTCGAGGCCACCAAATTCCCTCTTGTGGGGTGATGCTTTGTCGTGCCCACCAGCCGACACCTCTGAAATTCAGTGAGATGCTGAACCACGTCACTTCCCAAATGGAATTCCTCTGCAATTTATTATTTTTTAAATAATATCTCCTACAAATGCAGTAATTGTTCGGCTTAGCCTCACACGTCGCTTTACTGCTTTCATCGCTTGGTTTTATTACACTGGGTTAAAGTCCTGAATTGGGCCCCTGCTCTCTTGCTTGGTCTCAGAAAGTGTCTGTGAAAGTGCTCCTCAGCTTCCAGTAACTGGAGTGGTTTGGGGAGTCGAAGGTTCAAACCTGAAACATTTTTATTGGCTTAATCTTGCCTGACAGCTTCGCTGTAGTATTTGCCCTCTGGCTAATTGCTGAAGTGACTTGATAAGCTTGAAGGGACTGGTTCCTGTGAGGAAGCATTGGAGGTGGCACGGGCCATCCTTGCTTTGTCAAGGGCTCATGAACTTCTGCTGAGGACGGAGCCGCTCGTGTCGCTCACTGGTGTCTGAGGGCTGCCAAATCCCTTGGGGAAACTTCACCCTGAAGAAGTTCAGAATTCAGAACTTCCTTCTGAACTTTATTCTGGGGTGTCCCAGCTTGGGGGTGAGGGCAGAAGGTGTCCTCCCTATCAAACCCGAAGGACCTCTGAGTCGCAGTGGTCAAGCTTCTCCTTGCAAGGCCATTAATGTGATGCTGCAGATAGCCAAAAGCTCATCTCCTGTGGCCGTGCCCTTCCCCAGGAACCTGTTGTGTTTGTGTTTCGAGGGGTGAGGCTGCACCGAAGGCTGGATCTCTCCAGACTGGTTTCGGTGGGATGGGGTGTACCAGCCGGCGTGGAGACCGGCAGGACCTGTGGGCTGCTCGGCAGGAGATGCAGAGCTCTTTGCATCATTGTTCTGTGGATTTTCTCAGTCTTTCTGGGGGCAATTGTAGAGGTTTAAGCCCTGCTGGTGTCTCTCCTGAAGTGGATGGGGTCTGTGCCCTGCAAACACCCATTGCAGGTTGGCATCATCACGGCTTTGAGCGCTGCTGTGTGAGGGCATCAGTCTGCAGAAGCCTGAAACAAGCTAAAAATAGTAATTTTCCCCGTGGTGTGTCATTAAGTGATGGCAGCGAGTTTAATAGGGTGCTTTGGATGCCAGAAGCTCAGCTGCCTTTAAACACCTGTGGAAGAAAAGCCTGTTGAGGACTGTTAAACAAAGACGGAGATGAAACCACCAAGCTCAGGGTGCTGGTGGTGGTGGGACCACCGGGAGCTGGGGGGGAAGATGGGGTGAAGGGTGGCTCCGTGCCCTCCAGGCTGCTGGGGGACTTCCTTGGGTGGCCTTTCCCTGTCTGTCCCTCCGTGGGGAGAGGGGGGGGTTACTGTGGGTACCCCATTTTCTCCGCTTGCCCTTCGAGGAAAGTTGTTTCCCAACCGAGTGGACTAACTGCTTGCCAAGTGTCACAAGTCTCTGAGCCAACTTGCAGGAGGAGAAACAAGCCAGGGCAGAGAGCCCGGCGGTGGTGTAAGCAAGAGGCAATTAAAGACCTAACTGTATTTCTTCATGGAGCCTTGTGGAAGGGCTGCCTTCGCTTAATGCCTTGTGCTTTCCCTGCATAAACAAGAGCAGAGGTTGCCCTTCCCTCCCCTCAGCAGCTTCGTCACATTTGGGTGTCGCAACAGGAGCGTGGAGTTAATCTCCCTGCTCTGGGAGGCAAAGAGAAATAAAGGAGAAATAGTGGAGTGCAACCAGCGCGGGTGCAACCGTGGAATAAATTATTGACCCTTCTAATCACAGAATCACATCCAACCCCTTCCCAAAGCAAGTCCACCTAAAGCAGGTTGCACAAAAACGTGTCCTGGTGGGTTTAGAATGTCTCCAGAGAAGGAGACCCCACCACCTCTCTGGGCAGCCTCTGCCAGGGCTCTGCCACCCTCACAGCAAAGAAGTTCCTCCTCATCTTTAGGTGGAACTTCTTACCTTCAAGTTTGTGCCCGTTCCCTCTTGTCCTGTCCCTGGGCACCACTGAAAAAAGACCAGCCCCATCCTCCTGACACCCACCCTTTCAGTATTTAGAGGTGTTGATCAGATCCCCCCTCAGCCTTCTCTTTTCCAGACTAAAAAGCCCCAAGTCCCTCAGCCTTTCCTTGTAAGGGTGATGCTTCAGGCCCCTCCTCATCATCTCTGGAGCCTCTGCTGTCCCCTCTCCAGCAGTTCCCTATCCTTGTGGAACTGGGGAGCCCAGAACTGGTCCCAGTGCTCCAGCTGGGGCCTCCCCAGGGCAGAGTAGGGGGAGAGGAGAACCTCTCCTAGGAGGTTATAACCTTCTCTAGGAGGGAAGCCTCCTAGCTCTTCGGCGTGTGCTTGTTAAAGATTGGTAAGAGACCTCTCCCTTCCTGTGCTTTGTTGCAGACGAGGATGCAGAGCCTGCAGCCGGACCCCAAAGCCCAGTACAGGAGCGTGTACGAAGCTCTGAAGAAGATTGTCCTGACCGAGGGTTTCTGGAGGCCTTTGCGGGGGATTAACGTCACCATGCTGGGGGCTGGCCCTGCCCACGCCATGTACTTTGCCTGCTATGAAAAAATGAAAAAATCTCTAAGCGATACTCTCCAGCATGGAGGAAACAGCCACTTGGCCAATGGTATTTTGGGTTTTTTGGGGTTTTTTTTTGCACAAAAAACTTCCTGCTTGCAGTTTAACGTGCTTAGCCTGGCGTCCTTCACTGCTCTGCTCCTGGAAGATCTGCTGTAGGTCCTGTAAATACCTCTACAGGAGGATGAAGGGTGCAAAGTAACCCCAGGCTGGCAGGTCGTGGTACCCACTTTGAGGAACCAGGGGGGACATCAGGGTGGCACCTGCCCTCCAGTTGAGGGCTTCACGCCAGTCACCACGCTCCTCCGAAACCTCATCCCTGTCTTAGGACTACTGGCTGCTTGGGAGATCCCTCTTCCAGAGGGTAGAGGTGGCTGGGCTGGTTGTCACAGCAGAGTAGAGAAGCCCTTCCTGGCCTGAATCCCGTGATGGCACCGTTGGGCACCCTCCAAAGCCCTGGTCACTCTAGATTTCTGTGTTACTCAGACTATTTTAGCACAAAGAACCAATCCATTGGACAAGGGGTGTTGAGATGCAGCCTGTTTCTGGCTTCATGTTGGAGGCATCATCTAAACCTCTTGAGGTTTGCAGTGTAGGTTGTTCCCCAGGTCTCTCTTTGAGCTCCGGCACGGTGAAGTGCACCACATCCTCTGTGTGCTCCCGTGCTTTGTAAAGGTTTTGTTTCTGCCAGAAAGGCTTTTTTAGCTCCAGCAATAAGCCCTTAACAGGGGAAACCTTCTAATTGAGTGGCTGATTTGTGCAGAAGATGCTTCTGCCTGGTCCTTGGCATGCCGTGATGGTAGGATCTGCCATGGTGGTCACTTGACTTGACTCAACCAACTCAGTTAAGGGTATATAACATCTTTCTGGCTCGCTGCTTTTTGCTAGTAATGTGTTTGCCTTTCAAGTAGCTACAGGCTTGCAGGAGCAGCGGGAGAACCGAAGCGCTGCGTTAATGAGAAATGACCAAAAGTCATTTGGGCAAGAGAGAATTTGAGATGGAAACCTACTTCAAAGGCAAAGGTGTGGCTCGAGAGGCCCGTCCTAGGGCCAACTGCAGCATCATTAATGGCTGGCTGGCTGGTTGCAGAGTCCGTGCAATTAGTGTTTATAGCTAGACTGAGTTAAACGGATGAAAATGCCTAATTAGGGATGCACTGAGCCAGCTCTAAACATTGCTCATCCCTCAGACCAGTGCGGGCTGAGTGAAGCTGGTGGTGTCTTGCAGAGACAAAGCCTTGTGAGCTGTGGGGAACGGTGAAGGCCGTGAGAAGATCCTGCTTGCCCTCAAGCTGCTCGGGCTGGGCTTTTCTCCCCTGGGATGAGCTATTCTGTTGGGTGCTTCCTTGGGCTCCAGCTCCCTACCAGTGGTACCCGGTGGCACATGGACTGTCTGCACCATGGTCTGCTGTCTCCATGGGTGGAGCCCCCAGCTTCTGAATGTTTCCTTTTATTATTATTTTTTTGATTGAAGGATGCCCTTGTCTCTTGCAGGAATAGCTGGGAGCGTGGCCACGCTGCTCCACGACGCAGTGATGAACCCCGCTGAAGGTAATGCCCTGGGGAGGCACCAAGGAAACACCCCATGCCATCTCAGCAGCTTCAGCCCTTGGCTTTAACGACTCTGCCCAGCTTTTAATGAGCTCAGAGGGGCCACTGGAAAGGGATAAATGCCCCCTGCCTGTTTTCCTTTGCTTTCCGAGGGGGTTGCACAGTGTCTGTGACTTGTCTATCATGACTTCCCAGGAGAACTGGTGTCACTTTTCCTGACAGGATGCCTTTACCACTCCATTAGCGCCTCTTTCCTGAAGTGGTGGTGGCTTTTTCTGAAGCTTTGGATCACCCAAACAAAATTGAGCTCAGTTACATTGTTAGACAAATGGTCCCCAAGCCGTGGGACCATTGCACAGCTTTCCCAGGTAGGGAGAGTCTGGCATTGAAAGGACTAACAGTAAAATGTGGCTAAAATGAAAACAATTAGCTGGGCTGCCAGCTATTCAGTGTTAATGTATTGTACTTCTTAGTTGGCCCAAAGTCAGGTCTTTCTGAAGGGAAAAAAAATAATGTCTCTAGTGTTTCAAATCCTTTTAATCGTATCCCGGTTAAATGAATTCAATTAATTGGCCTTTTGCTTAAGTCAATGGAAGTTGTTCCATTTCTGGACTTGGTACTGTAGAGGAGGAACGGTTATTTGATTGGCTTTCTGCCCTTGTCCTCTTGGTAACTCGGTGCTTCTGCACGACAGATCTGCATCCCTCACATCTGAGGGTCCTCGTGAGTCTATCTTAATGCCTTTCTAGAGAGAAGTAAAGGTTCCTTAAGCTTGAGGAGAGGAATGCGTGGAACCCAAGGAAATGGGAGAGCTGTTGAACCAAGGCTGAGCTCTGACCTGCTTCCTTCACTTGTTGTATTGAGGTTTTGGGGGGCACCAGGCAGGTTCTGGTGAATGCCTGTAGATGTGGAGCTCATTGCTACAGTTTTATGTCACAGAATCATAGAATTGTCTGGGTTGGAAGGGACCTTTAAGATCATCTAGTCCAACCATCAACCTAACTCTGATAAAAACCATCCCTAAACCACGTCTATAAAGAATGTCCTAGAGGAGGTTTGGACTTGGATGGGGAGGTTGGGTCTGGATGGTTGGGACTTGAAGCCGGGTTCAGTCTGGGTGTTGGGATGCCCAAGAAATATCTGCCTTGGCTAATCAGGCTTTGTCTCCTTGTGTCTCCTGCCTGGTGCTGCCCGCCCTGTGGCTCTTGCCTGGACCAGTGGTGAAGCAGCGGATGCAGATGTTCAACTCCCCCTACAAGTCCGTCCTGGCCTGCATAAGGACAGTGCAGAAGACGGAAGGGTTTGGTGCCTTCTACCGCAGCTACACCACCCAACTCACCATGAACGTGCCCTTCCAGGCCATCCACTTCATCACCTACGAATTCATGCAGGAGCAGATCAACCCCCACCGGGAGTATAACCCTCGGTCCCACATCGTCTCGGGGGCCGTCGCGGGGGCCGTGGCCGCCGCCGCCACCACTCCTCTGGACGTCTGCAAGACCTTGCTCAACACCCAAGAGAACATGGCCTTGAGCTCCGTGAACATCAGCGGGCATCTCTCGGGCATGGTGAACGCCTTCAAGACTGTCTACCAGCTGGGGGGCATCTCGGGGTATTTCAGAGGGGTGCAGGCACGCGTCATTTACCAGATGCCTTCAACGGCCATCGCTTGGTCGGTGTATGAGTTCTTCAAGTACTTTCTCACAAAACGCAAGCTGGAAAAAAGAACATCTTTGTGAGGGGCTTCAGGGAGAGTGGACACCACCCTCCGTGTCCCCCCCTCCCTGCGTGTCCATGTGTGCCTGCAAACCAGCCAGCTCCGGGGCTCTGCTAAGGAACGTGCCAGGTTTCTGGTGGATTCACAGCCAACATCCACTTCTCCCTCCCCAGGGAAGGAGGGGTTAAAGTGGGCCTCGGCCGCGTGTTTCCCCTCCTTGCTTAAACAGTGAATGAAAAAAGTTTATAAAGACTTATAATAATATATATATTTAATAACTTTATTTTGGAGAAGTGAAATTGCTAACTGGTATTTTTCTCTCAATAAGTTTGAAGATGTAGTTTACTCCTGACCCGAAGGCTTAGGTTATACAGCCTAGGCTGGGTCTTTTTTACAGCAAAGAAGCAAAATATCCTGTCACAGAACTTACTTTTTTATATAAATATAAAATAGATGGATAATGTTTATCCTTTATTTTTCTATGTAGGCGTTTGGGTTGTTTTTTAAATACTATTGCAGCTAGATGCTGAGCTGTTTAAAAAGGGCTAAATTCTTCCATCCTGTGTAAGGAAGACTCAAAAGCATTTATTTTTATAGCCAGATTGGCTTTAATTATACAGCATTTAGCCCCCAAATGGTGGCCTGGATTCTCGTGTGGGTGTCAAGGTACTTGGTAGCCCCTTGAGACTTGCTGGGGTGGGGAGGGAGAAGGAACTGGGACACTTTGGGGAAACTGTAGGACACCAAGCAGGGGCACCCTAAAATACCCGGTCACTTTGTGGGGGAGAGGGAGAAACTATCAATTATGTTTTTCTACGAGGAGACTCTTTAAAAAAAAAAAAAAAAGGTAGATTTTACAGAATAGTATTTTTTTTCACAAACACTTTTTTTAAAGGTACATTTTTATGGTGTGTGATAGCTCAACAGTCTTCATCCTCCTTTAATTTATTCTTTCTCACTAAGGCCCTCATCCCCTTTCCAGGAGCCACCGTGCACATCTGGATAGCTGGTGGGATGGAAGTGGGGGTGACAGAGCCACTCTGCTCCCCTGGGAGGGGGGGGACCTGGAGCTTCTGTTTACAGTTTGGCTACTGAGTGGTGAGGGTCACATCCCCACAGCACCAAACCAGCAGCGAAAGCCTTGGGAGAAGTCTTCCCTGTGGAACCCAAGCCACCCCCCAGGCCGTGTTTGACAATAATCTGCTGCTCATCTCTGTTGGGGGGGGGAAAAAACCCACCTAAAGAGGTTCCTCGTGCTGTGGGTTTGGTTTTGCTGCTGTGGGATGCTGAGCTTCGTGGTGGCCAACGAAGCTGTGCCTGCTCGGGAAGGGTGGTGGCCTCGCTCCGTGCCCTGCTCCTCCTGGGAATAGCTCTTCCAAACCAAAACATGTCCTTTAGCCAGTTCCTTGGGTGGTCGGTAGCCAGTGAGGGATTTTAGGAGCCTGGATGTGTGAGTCTAAGTTACAGGCCACCAACTGGCAAATCTCCATCCTCCCTGGAGCTTGCCTTGCCAGCAGCAGCTGTTGTCTTAGGTTGGTGGCATCTCCTTACTGCTGGGCACGGGGGAACCTTCTGGAGATGTGGCTCCAGCTTGTTGTGGCAGCTCTTGGGCTGGCCCCTGTCACTGGAGGTGTCCCATCAACCAGGCGCGTTGTGTAGGATGACACTAAGCAGAGCTTAGAGCTTTTGCTCCGTTCTTTGGAGAAGGTAAATCAAAGAGCACCTCTCTGGGTGGTGTTGCATGTGCCTTGTGTGAATGAACCTTGTACCACTGGTCATGGTGAAAGGAGCTTCTTGATGCCTTTTTTTTGGGGTCACTTGATCTGAATGAATCACTGTGTCAAATGCACCCTGTGTCTTAAAGTGTGAAAATTGGAAGCTTGAAGCCACTGGTCTCGGTGTAGAAAGCCCTTGGCTGTCTCTGCCCATGGAGATCCTCGGGGCTGGAGGTCTTTGAGCGGTCTGTTCGCCTTGGGTGTTGTCTTCTATTGACTTTAGAAACTGGAGAGTCACTAACAGGAACCAGAACTGCACAAAATATTTCCATCGGAGATGGGCGTGAACACTTGGATGAAAATTGTGGGTCACTTTAATATTAAAAAGAGGCAAACTGTAGCATAGCGTGGGAGGTGATGGCTTCCAGTGTGACTTCAGGAGCTAGGGGTCATACTGGGGGAGCGGTCCCCAGTGCATCATCCTCTTCCTCTGGCTGTTTAGCTCTAATATTTCTGACTTCACCTTGGCTGTTCTGGGAGAGCTTCACCTCCCGTTTGGAGTAACCCATGAGTAGCTGGGACACCATGGATGTTCCCAGAGGACAGAGCTCGTGGCCATGGAGCCATGGGAAGGGTGGTCATGGTTTTGGCCAGCTGAGCATCCTGCTTGGAGGGGGAGGTAACATCCCATTTTTGGTTGTTAGCCAGAAAAATACGAGTGTGTCCTGAGATTTGAGCACACAAAGTCATTTAAGTCAACCAGGTTTTCTTGGGAACTTTGCCTCAAGCTGAGAGTGGGTGAGGAGCACTTGTATGTTCATAGAGCTCTTTGCAGCTTACCCCAGGTATCTGATAAAACCAGTCTCCCCATTCTGCAGCTGGGGACGTGCCCAGTTGGTCTAATAGTTGCAGAGGTCTCTGAGGTTGAACCGTTTGCTGCTGTACGCGATGCTGGATCCCCAGGTGAAAGCCCCTTCGCCGAAGCTGTTGCTCCTCATCTCTTGTAGGTTTTTGCATTTGAGAGTTTTTTGCTGCGAGCCTGAAGTTTTTATTTTAACCTGGGCTGTGAAACATGTACTGCTGCTTTGTCTGCAACTGAACGCGCATATTATTTAAGGGGGAGGATGAGTAACTTTGTCCGCAGTTCTTCATTTGTATCATTTTTGCCTGCCTTGGGATTTAATGTGTTTTCCCGAAAATGTATATTGAACAACGCAGGAGTTCGTTTGTGAAATGCTGCTACAGTTGTATCACTGGAGCTCAAGGAAAATAAAATATTCTGATATTTGTCCTTTTAGGCTGGTGCTTGTGGCTTTCCTTGGCCGTGTCCTCGGGCAGGAGGGTGTCTGGCTCCGTTGGTGGCAGCCGAGAAGGCTGATCTCTGGGGGAATGGTGCCTTCTAGTGTTCCCTCAACACTTGGCAGGCTCAGAACTCACCAGCTGAGTCAGATAAAGCCCTTCCTCATCAGGCTGGAGGAATAAAACACCCTTTTGGGGAGGGGTTTGGCAGCCTGGCAGGAGCTGACATCCGTATCCGAGGGCTTGAGCTCCTCTAGGAGCCGCTGAAGAGTTTTGGAACTTTGTCCTCTTGGCAATGAAATTGGCTTCTGAGATCTGCAAAGCCAACCCGCAGCCTGTGGCTTGTTGGGCAGCAAAGCAAATTCCCAAACTGGGATTTCTTTCCCCCAGCTCCTCGTCAAGAAAGTGCATGGGGTGAAGGCCCCTGGGGGAGCTGCTTGTTTGCTGAGGTTTCGGTAATATTTGCTGCCTAATTTGAAAGGAAAACCCCAGAACACACTAAGCTGCTTTAGATCTTACCTTCCCCTTCATTGAAGAGCAAAGGACGTGTTCACGGGTATGGCTTCTGCACAGCACTGGTGCTGGGGGAGGAATAATTCCCTAAAAGCTGGGTTGAGGAGCATCAGGTGGATCGGAGCTTCTGAGCTGCCCCAGAGCCTGGGACTGAACTGTCCCCAGGGCAACGGAGACCCTAGAGCTTGGCCAAAGTGGGCTCTAAAAGGAAAAAAAAATAAAAGTCATAATTTTCAATTTTCAGAATTTTATTTTTTAAAAAAATAATTTTAATTTTATTTTTTCATAATTTTCAATTATGAAATTTCCAACGTGGAGCGACTGTTTCAGCTCCGGATGGAAAATGTTGCTGGCTCTGTGCAGGGATTTTTGGTTTCCAGGTTGGTGTCTGCCATGGGTAGCTTTGCTCTGCTCTGGTCCTGGTGACAAATGAACCTGTGTTATTTGGGGGGCTCCCCAAGCAGCTCAGCATTGCTGGGGGGTGGGATCACCATGGGCTTTGCTAACGCTGGGACATTGTGCACGAGCAGAAGGAATTCCTCACCTCTTTTGGTGGTGGTGGGTTATTTTGGGACCAAAGTTTGGTCCAAAGTCTGCCATACTTCATTTCTAAATTTGAATTTGTCCAACGGCAGGAGGATCAGGGATTTTTTTCAGCTCCTTTTTACCTCGAATAAACCTGGCAGAACCGCTTGGTCCTTGTCGTGAACCTCGCATGAAACCCAGGTTGTCTTAAAATAACATTTCAGCTTACAGAGCACTGTGCAGCTCTGATTTAAAGAGGCTAAAACTCCTTGGGGTAAATCTCCAGCCTTCAAAATCTGGAGCTGGGTCTGAAGGATTGTTTTGGGAGCCGCCTCGTGTAGTTCCGACAAGGGGTTGGAGCACAATTTGTTTCCTATCAGTATTTTTTTTAAGAAAATGACAGGTTTGGAATAGATGCTGACCCCCTGGGTGTGCAGGAGGAACTGATTTCGGCGTGTTCCCAGGGCAGCAATTAAAAGATCTACCTAAAATCCCATGGGGGGCTCCCCAAGCAGCTCAGCATTGCTGGGGGGTGGGATCACCATGGGCTTTGCTAACGCTGGGACATTGTGCACGAGCAGAAGGAATTCCTCACCTCTTTTGGTGGTGGTGGGTTATTTTGGGACCAAAGTTTGGTCCAAAGTCTGCCATACTTCATTTCTAAATTTGAATTTGTCCAACGGCAGGAGGATCAGGGATTTTTTTCAGCTCCTTTTTACCTCGAATAAACCTGGCAGAACCGCTTGGTCCTTGTCGTGAACCTCGCATGAAACCCAGGTTGTCTTAAAATAACATTTCAGCTTACAGAGCACTGTGCAGCTCTGATTTAAAGAGGCTAAAACTCCTTGGGGTAAATCTCCAGCCTTCAAAATCTGGAGCTGGGTCTGAAGGATTATTTTGGGAGCCGCCTCGTGTAGTTCCGACAAGGGGTTGGAGCACAATTTGTTTCCTATCAGTATTTTTTTTTAAGAAAATGACAGGTTTGGAATAGATGCTGACCCCCTGGGTGTGCAGGAGGAACTGATTTCGGCATGTTCCCAGGGCAGCAATTAAAGAGATGTACCTAAAATCCCAAAGATGAACTTTTGTTGGGATGCAGCAAGCCAGCAGCCCCTCCTGGGCTGGCAACGGGGCAGCTCAGCGGGGAATAATAACGATAATTACAGTATTTAGCACCAAACTCCTACCTGGGGAGTCCAGGCTGGCTGTGAAGGGAAGCAGCAGCGAGATTTTGCTGCCCTTGGTTCACCCCAAAGGAAAAAGGACTTTCTTTTTCTCATCTATTCCACCCTTTCTCTTTTCCTTCTTTGGTTTTTCTTTTTTAACTGACAGTGAAAAATCCAGGAGGTGCTGGGGTGGGGAGCAGACTGCCCCACCTGGCTGATGAGCTGAAGAGACAAGATCCAAAGATAACGTGCTATTTCTGCTCAGTGAAATGTTTTTGACAGGCTTCTATTTCTGTTTACATTGTAAATATTTAACCCCCCTTTTTAACCGTAAACAGGTACATAGCCCTGACAGGTGAGGTATGTAACACACTTCACGCACACATCTTAAAACACTCAATACTGGTGTTGTCTGAAGGTTGATGAGGACCAATATTTCTCTTTGTCGTAGTCACCGTTCAGCCCCATCTCGTTCCCAGCAGTTCCTCAAGAAGTGAGAAATGCCCCTCACAGAATCACATGGGGTTGGAAGGGACCTCTGGAGATCACCCAGTCCAACCCCCTGCCAGAGCAGGTCCACCCAGAGCAGGTCCCACAGGAACGTGTCCAGGTGGGTTTGAATGTCTTCGGAGAAGGAGACCCCACCACCTCTCTGGGCAGCCTCTGCCAGGGCTCTGCCACCCTCAAAGTGAAGTTCTTCCTCATGTTTAGGTGGAACGTCTTATGTTCAAGTTTGTGCCCATTCCCTCTTGTCCTGTCCCTGGGAACCACTGAAAAAAGACCAGCCCCATCCTCCTGACACCCACCCTTTCAGTATTTAGAGGTGTTGATCAGATCCCCCCTCAGCCTTCTCTTCTCCACACTCAAAAGCCCCAAGTCCCTCAGCCTTTCCTCGGAAGGGAGATGCTCCAGGCCCCTCCTCATCTCTGGAGCCTCTGCTGTCCCCTCTCCAGCAGTTCCCTGTCCTTCTGGAACTGGGGAGCCCAGAACCGGTCCCAGTGCTCCAGCTGGGGCCTCTCCAGGGCAGAGCAGAGGGGCAGGATGACCTCCCTCCACACAGCAGGTCGAGAGATGCTCCACAGGATGCCATTGGCCTTCTTGGCCACAGGGACACATTGCTGGCTCCCTCCTATGCGTCTGAGGGGAGGGAATTTTTGTGCTCAGCTGATGTGTAGTCACAGGTGCCACAAATTGTGCAATTAAACTCGTGGGTAAATTGTTGATAACCCCTATTACTGTCCCTCCAGGTCTCCTCCATTAGGTCCAAGCGGGGCTAAGGGGATTTTTACCCCTGGATTCCTCAAGGCTCTCGGAGCTCTGAATGAAGTCTGCTGAAATAAAGGAAAAACACCCAGGAAAACAAAAAAAAACTATGGAGAGAGACACTGTGCCCTTGCAAGATGCCCTGGGAGAAGCTCTCCTCACCTGCCCGAGAGGAAGACGTGGCTGCAGCCCTTCGGCCCCGACATCCCTGAGGACTCCCCTGCTCTCCCTCGGTGATTGCCCGGTGAGTAATTTAAATTTTTCTTATGTTTTCTCTGGTTTTGGTCCGCCTGCAAGTTGTCTGACTTCATTAAATGCTTATTTCGGGCCGCGTCCTCCTGGTGCTGCAAATCAGGATGGAAAATGTGGCTGGTTATTGAGGGAAATAAAGAGATATTGTCTCTTAGGAGAGCCTGGGGTGGCTGCAGAACTGGGAACGCCTGAGCTGAGCCCCCAGTTTTCCCAGCTGGAGAAGGGGATGGTTTTTCCCTGGATGGAGAGGCTGGCTGAGATTACTAGAAAGGCTGAAGGACCTCTGCAAAACATCACGTCGATGGTTATCTCTTTCTCCCTCCTCTCTGCTTTAAACCTCTGGCATCTGCCTGGCTTGTGGAGGGCTCTTAAGTGGAAATGGGGAATTCCTGGAGCCGCCAAACAGGATGGGACACGTCTGTGGGGCACGTGGGTATGGAGAAGCAGGGGAGCAAGCAAATCTTGAGGGCATCTCCCCGGCTCCTCCACCACCTCCAAACGCTCAGGATGGCTCCCCAGGAGGAGGAATGAGCTGCTGGAGGTGCCACCTGTGGGCATGTGGCACTTGCCAAGAGCCGTGACACGCCGATGTCCCCGTCCCCCCTCCGGGCTGGGTGGTGTTTCACCCTGGGAACGCATCTGATTTTCTAAATGACACTAATGGTTTCTTTGGAACCGGTACAGATTATTGTGTAAACATCTTTTTGAGAGCATTTTTTTTTTTTTAATGCGCCTTATTTATCTGATGGACCGTGGCAACTCCTGAAGCTCGCAGGGTTTCCTGCAGTGAAGATCTAGAGGGTGGTGGGCGTTCGCTTCGCTGCGCTCCCCCCTTGTTGGTGCATTGGAGTCTTGGGTTGGGACCAACAAATAAATTCCCTTTTACTGTGCAGTGCATCTTCTACAAAACTTCCCAACTGGTATTTTTCCTAGGGGGCCTGTAAATATACAAGACAAGTGGAAAAAGGGAAAAAGAAATAAGTAGTAACTAATATATTGTATGGGTGAAAGGAGAAATAGCAGCTGAGGGTGGAAGGTGCACCCTGAGTTGTGGGCCTGTAAATATACAAGACAAGTGGAAAAGGGGGAAAAAAAATTAAGTAGTAACTGTAATATCTTGTATGGGTGAAAGGAGAAATAGCAGCCGAGGGTGGAAGGTGCACCCCGAGTTGGGAGGACAGCGGGATGCTGGGGGGCAAATGGTCCCTGGGACACATGGATGGTGGTGATGGCCATGGTCACAGCCCCAGGACAGTGTCTGGAGGTGCCATCTGGGGGGACATTCCAGAAGAGCCATCAGGGATGGTGGTGGGTGCCAGCACTATGTTCCCCGTGGGACACGGGTGCCCTCCTGTGCCACCAGAGCCCCGGCGTTTGGATTTTTTATTGAAGTCATTTGATTAATCCAGGATCCAGGCTGTGTTTGTTCACCGCATCTGATTATTATCTAGTTTGCCCGATTCTTTGTTTCTCTTCAAATATTGTTTCTGCTTTAAAGGGTAATGAACATAAAGGCAAACATCTCACCTTTTCCCTCTTGAAATTTCATTAAGCTGCGTGTTTGTCTTGGATGACAAGATGCAGCCCATGGAGTGAAAGGTTTTCCGGCCACACCTTCACCCGCCGTCTAATTCTGCCACGATTGTCTACAAAGGGAATAAAAACATTTGTATTTATCCACAAGATTTAATTCCTTTTAAAAGACAAGAGATCCGTTTGCAGAACAGGTAAGTGTTTTCCGCTGAGCTCTGCAGGTGTAAAGCCATCGTGGAGCATTGCAGCGTGGCTCTGGAGGAGGCTGGAGGTGATTCCAGCCCAAAATAATGCCAATTTTGGACCATGAGCCTTTAGGCCTGGGTCCCAGGTCCCATACCATTAAGAAGGTTCCATACCCACCATATACATTTTCAGTGGAGCATCCTCTTTTGCTCAGTTTACCGGCTGTCCTGCTGCTGGCACAGAAGCCCCATTATTAGTATTTTTGGGGGGAGGAGAAAATTCAGGCTTTTCCCCTGTTTTCTTTTTCACCTGCTCCGATTTGCAGAGCAAAAACCTGTTTGTTGTTGCCTGGAGGAACGTGAACCCTTCAAAAAAACCCTCTCAGAGATGCAGGTCTGCAACAGCGGGCACAGCCCAGACCCAACCACTGATGGATGAAATCCTCCAAGTACATTAATCACCTTCTTATAACATTTTCGCGTATTTTATTTGCTTTAAAGCTTTATTTCCCCCCACAAAGTTTTTAGCAAGTGGTAGGAGAAGCTTGATTGATGCGCCCGGGGCTGCTTTGCGAAGGAGATGAACGGTCTCCTGGTGAAAGAGAGTGTGGTAGATAAATACGGAGGTAATTCCTCCTTTCACCAGGGCAAACAGAGGATGAGGAGGGTTGATGTGCCGTCGACACCCAGCGAAAAGCCGCTTGGCAAGGAGGGGTGAAATATTGGTCATTTGCTAACTAATGCCCAGACATTGTCGGGGCTGGGGATGGGGGGAACTTTGGGAAAGCTGCAGAGAGCAAAGGGTGCCCCCCAAACAGAGGATGAGGAGGGTTGATGTGCCGTCGACACCCAGCGAAAAGCCGCTTGGCAAGGAGGGGTGAAATATTGGTCATTTGCTAACTAATGCCCAGACATTGTCGGGGCTGGGGATGGGGGGAACTTTGGGAAAGCTGCAGAGAGCAAAGAGTGCCCCCCTCCCTCGCTGGCCACAAAATCTGGGTGAAAATTGAGTAGATGTCAGTGTCACAAATAAAATGAGTTGCCTCGGTCCTTCTTCTGAAGCCTGAGAGGTCCAGACCCTGGGTTAGACCTTGCCCTGGTGCTTCCCTTGCTGTCTGGTGCCCGGGCATGGGCTGCCTTGTGTTGATTCCAACCTCGTGAAGCCTCCTTGAAGGTTCCCCAGGTTCCTGCTGCAGGATTTTTGCCCTAAAATTCTCAATTTGCTTATTATTTGGGGGAAAACCCCGATGTTTCCACACTGCCTGTGCTGATGGGGGCAAGGCTGTGGCTTTGGGGCGCAGTCCTGGGTCTGGGATGTTTTGTTGCTGGTCTTAGTGGTGACCATCACCATGTCCTCGTTTAATTAGGCTGAGCAGCTGGCTCTTGAGAGGGGAAACAACCCTGAATCCTTCTGGATGAGCACTGATGTCATCCAATATGTCATATTTTTGGGGAACTGAGCTCCTGTGGTGGGTTTATAAGGATGCTGAGGGCTTCCTGGGGACCTGCCACAGGGCAGAATTGGTGCCGACTTGTGGGTTTGACTCCATTCCCCCTTTTTTAAAGGGCAAAAGGGTGAAGCCTGTAAAGTGGAAGTGCCATTCTAGGGGGGCACAGTTGATGCGGGTCGCTATTCCTGGTGGAACAGCATGGATATTCAGACTTGAAACACTGGTATTTAGGAAAAAACTGGGTTTCATCACGGAAACTTGCCGGGGAGCTGAGCAATCTGCATCCCCCCACCTGGTACGTGACGATACCCAGCAGCAAACAAATCCCCTAGATGCTGGCAGAGCTCCCGGCCGCCGCAGCGCTCCGAGTCTAGAAAAAGGATTAATATTATCTAGCTGGTCCAAAAGGAGAGCCCATGTTCCTCTTGCTCCAGACCTGGCTGGGATGGGGAAACGTCTGCACGTGCTGGAGGGGAACATCTGGCATTTTAAGGGCAACAAAGCTGGTGAGGGGTCTGGAGCACAAGTCTTATGAGGAGAGGCTGAGGGAGCTGGGGTTATTCAGCCTGGAGAAGAGGAGGCTGAGGGGAGACCTTATTGCTCTCTCCAACTCCCTGAAAGGAGGGTGTAGAGAGGTGGGGGTCGGTCTCTTCTCCCAAGTCCCAGGCGACAGGACAAGAGGAAATGGCCTCAAGTTGCGCCAGGGGAGGTTCAGGCTGGATATTAGGAAAAATTTTTTCACCGAAAGGGTTCTCAGCCATTGGGATGGGCTGCCCAGGGAGGTGGTTGAGGCCCCATCCCTGTTAGTGATGATGCTCCTTGTTTGTTGTGTGGGTGTCTATTTTTGTCAGTTGGGTTGACGGTTGGACAAGATGATCTTTGAGGTCCCTTCCAACCTAGAAGATTCTGTGATTTGCTGCAGCTTCTGGGCTGCTCTGCTCCAAAAGCCCCAGCCCCTGGGGGAGCTTTCTCCTGGGGCCCCGACCGAGCAGCGCAGCCGTTGGGACGATGTTTGTTGAGAGCATTTGGACATCCTTCTGCAGAGGAAGTTGTTCTGGGTGGACCCCAGAGCCTGTGTAAATCCTGCAAATCTCCAACCCAGAAGCCTGGGCGCTGCCATCCCCCATGAGAAAGTGGCTCTGAATGAATAATTGCTCCGCCGGAGCTCGGCCGGTGCCTTTTCCCAGTTAACCCAGCCATTTATTCTCAGGGGAGTGTCTTGTTTGTTGTGTGGGTGTCTATTTTTGTCAGTTGGGTTGACGGTTGGACAAGATGATCTTTGAGGTCCCTTCCGACCTAGAAGATTCTGTGATTCTGTGATTTGCTGCAGCTTCTGGGCTGCTCTGCTCCAAAAGCCCCAGCCCCTGGGGGAGCTTCGCCCTGGGCCCCGACCGAGCGGCGCAGCCGTTGGGACGATGTTTGTTGAGAGCATTTGGACATCCTTCTGCAGAGGAAGTTGTTCTGGGTGGACCCCAGAGCCTGTGTAAATCCTGCAAATCTCCAACCCAGAAGCCTGGGCGCTGCCATCCCCCATGAGAAAGTGGCTCTGAATGAATAATTGCTCCGCCGGAGCTCGGCCGGTGCCTTTTCCCAGTTAACCCAGCCATTTATTCTCAGGGGAGTGGTGAGGAGCCCTGGGTGCCCCCACCCAAGCTCTGTTTGCAGAGGGACTTGTGCTAATCCCTTTGCTTTCCGGCGCGGCGTGAGCAGGACCCCGTGGTGCCACCTGGGCTGGGTGGAAAAGTACCGTGGGAGGCTTTGCCAAAGAGCCCATGTCCCAAACTGCTTCTACCTCCCCTCAGAAACACGGGGTTCTTCAGGAAGGGGTCCCCCCTCTCCTCCTCGGCACTGTCACTGCTGAGAGCCCTGATCCAGCCTGGCCAGGCTCGGGTGATGCAAAACCTGTTGGACACAGAGGATGTAAAATCATGTTGTGTTGGAAATTCAGTCTGAAAAGCTGGAAATATCATAGAATGGTTTGGGTTGGAAGGGACCTTCGAGACCATCCAGTCCCTGGGACACCTCCCACCAGCCCAGGTTGCTCCAAGCCCCCTCCAACCTGCCCTTCAACCCCTCCAGGGATGGGGCAGCCACAGCTTCTCGGGGCAACCTGGGCCAGGCTCTCACCACCCTCCCACCAAACAAGCTCTTCCCCACATCTCAGCTCCATCTCCCCTCTTTCAGGGTCAAACCCTTCCCCCTCCTCCTAGGGCTCCCCTCCCTCATCCAGAGTCCCTCCCCATCTCTCCTGGAGCCCCTTGAGGGACTGGAAGGGGCTCTGAGGTCTCCCCAGAGCCTTCTCTTCTCCAGGCTGAACCCCCCAACTCTCTCAGCCCCCCTTCCCAGCAGAGGGGCTCCAGCCCTCCCAGCATCTCTGTGGCCTCCTCTGGCCCCGCTCCAACAGGTCCTTCTGCTGTTGGTGGCCCCAGAGCTGGTGGCAGCACCTGGGGGGGGGGTGTCTCCCCCCAGAATTTCCCCCCTGGCCCTGCTGGCCACCCTGCTGGGGACACAGCCCATATCTCCCTGGGAGGCTCAGGCTGGGCAGCCAGGGCTCAGGGTTACACCACCTCGAGTTTGGAAAAAAAAACTCTCACTTTTCTGGCAATCTGGTCACCCCAAAAGGCTCTGGATGAAAAGAAGAGGTGCATGGCTCGTCTCTATGAGATACCCAAACC